GAAATTAAAGGCACTAATAACAAACAGACAAATGAACAAGCACCACCTTCTCTTAGCTGGAGACTTCAACATCAACCTTGGCCTACTAGATGATCAGCCTGTAACTGATTTCATCAACAATATGAACAACACGCTTCTCATACCAACAATAACTAAACCAACCAGGCTCACTGAAACAAGTGCAACTATAATAGACCACATATGGACCAATATACTAGACCCCCTTAAATCAGGGATAATCACAGATAGCACTACAGACCACTACCCTACCTTCCTCCTGACAAACATTAGTAAACCACCACTTGAATACAAAAAAGTCTCATTTAGACTACATGATGAGGCCTCAATAAGGAAGTTCACAGCTGACCTAGAGACTGTTGACTGGCCTACAGAATTCTCCAAGGCCAATGGTATTGATGACTGGACAGACATTTTTCTTAACAAACTACTTAAGACTATACAACAAACATTGTCCTATAAAAACGAAACAGATCACAAACAAACGGCTTGGTTGCCCATGGCTAACCAGCACCATTCTGAAATCCATTGATAAGAAACACCAATATGAAAAGCAATATAGACAGGGCTTAATACACAAAGATATTCTTAAACACTATTCATCAGTCCTCACCAAAGTAATAAAGAAAGCCAAACAACTATACTACTCCAGTAGATTCACTGACACAAGAGGAGATATAAAAAAGACCTGGAAAACACTCTCTCAGATTCTAGGGACCCACAAACTGAAAAAAAACAAGAATATTGTCCTAACTAAACCTAATGAAACACCACTGCAACCCACTGACACAGCTAACAAGATAAACGACTTCTTCTCAACCATAGGTTCTAATCTCGCCAATAAAATCCCACGTACCAATGCCCATGCCGGGGACTACCTAGATGGGAATTTCCCAAATTCCTTCTATCTTGCTCCAACTGAGCCCACAGAAGTCACCGAGATTATAAAGTCACTTAAAAATAACTCAGGGAATCTGTCTCATGTCCCACCATTATTGTACAAGAGAGTGGCCCATGTCCTCTCGCATATTATCTCATTACTTTTTAACAAGTCACTAGAAACTAGCACCTTCCCGAAATTACTCAAGACGGCAAGGGTTACACCAATACATAAAGGTGGTAACCCTACAGATTTAAACAACTATAGGCCAATATCAAACTTACCATTGCTATCCAAAATCTTTGAGAAACTCGTGCACAGGAGACTGTATTCATTTATAACGTCACAAAACATACTCAACCCCTGCCAATTTGGATTCAGGAAAAATAAAAGCACTAACGATGCAATCATAAAAATGCTAGATCTGCTTTACACAGCATTGGAAAATAAGGAATATCCACTAGGAATTTTTATTGACCTAAGAAAAGCTTTTGACACAGTAGACCACGGCATCCTAATCCACAAACTTGACCATTATGGTATAAGAGGCCATGCGCTTGCATATTTCAAATCTTACCTTACTAATAGTTATCAGTATGTCACCATTAAAGACACAGCATCAACAACACAGCCACTTGATACTGGAGTTCTGCAGGGAAGTGTCCTTGGTCCCCTGCTCTTCCTCATATACATCAATGATCTTCCAAACGTATCTCGACACCTGAACCCCCATTCTCTTTGCTGACGACACAACTTATGTCATCTCTCACCCTAATCTTGCCACCCTCAACACCATTGTTAATGAGGAGCTGATCAAAATATCGACTTGGATGACAGCCAATAAACTTATGCTTAACGTTGACAAAACCTACTACATTATGTTTGGTAGCAGAGCAGGAGATGCGCAAATTAACATTAAGATCGACAACACTCTAATTGCCAGGCATAATGAGGGCAAATTCCTAGGCCTATACCTCGACAACAACCTGAACTTCAGCACCCATATCCAACACATAACCAAAAAAGTATCCAAAACGGTTGGGATCCTCTCCAAGATACGATACTACATGCCGCAAACTGCCCTTTTCACACTACACCATTCACTTATATATCCATACCTCACCTATACTATCTGTGCTTGGGGTTCAACTGCAGCAACACACCTAAAGCCAATAATAACCCAACAAAAAGCCGCAGTAAGAATAATCACTAAATCCCATCCCTGGCAACACACCCCCCACTCTTCATAGATCTAAACTTACTCCCTGTTCAGTACATCCACACTTACTACTGTGCAGTCTACATCTACAGGACCTTAAATTCCAATATTAACCTTGACCTAAAATGTTTTCTTGATAGTTGTGACAGAACCCACAGGCACAACACCAGACACAAACATCTCTATGACATTCCCCATGTCCGACTAAACCTTTACAAAAATTCAATGTATGTCAAAGGCCCTAAAATCTGGAACACCCTACCTGAAAATTCCAAAACTGCAGACACATTCATCACCTTCAAAACTACCATCAGAAAACATCTTATCTCCCTGATACACCCTGTCAACTAATTACACGAATACCACCTGGTGGTTCACACTTACACTCACCCATTTGACCATAAACAGAAATATCAATCTCAATCTCAAAATAATGAATCTTAACTAGTCATAAGTTGGCCTGTGATACTCCAATACTGAAACTATGTATAGTGCCAAAACAAAAGCATTCACATTGCTAAACTCACAACTAGTATTTAGTCACTTAGCCATAATACCAACTTACCTCATAATTTTGTAATATTTTAAACTTAAGATTTAATATAAGTCTGCCCGAAATGCCTAGCCATGCTAGGTGTTCTAGTGGTACACTCTGTAATTATTATTTTACTACATGTAAACCACACAATAACCAAATTCTGTAAACTCAGCATTGTAATACTTATAGAGAATAAACTTTGAATTGAATTGAATTGTGCTTCTGTCTCCATCCATTCCCTTTGATCTTACATGCTCACAGATATCATACCCCTACATCTTAAAACTTTTCATACTATTCCTGAAAGCTTTGCTAGTATGTCCTCTACACAATCTTTAATACAGCCAGATTTGTATACCCTCTATCATTTTTTTTTCTTTCAACACACTGGCTATGTTGCACTGAGGCCGGGTGACCTAACACACTGGCTATGTTGCACTGAGGCAGGCTGACCTAACACACTGGCTATGTTGCACTGAGGCAGGCTGACCTAACACACTGGCTATGTTGCACTGAGGCAGGCTGACCTAACACACTGGCTATGTTGCACTGAGGCAGACTGACCTAACACACTGGCTATGTTGCACTGAGGCAGGCTGACCTAACACACTGGCTATGTTGCACTGAGGCAGGCTGACCTAACACACTGGCTATGTTGCACTGAGGCAGGCTGACCTAACACACTGGCTATGTTGCACTGAGGCAGGCTGACCTAAAAAGAAAAACAAAAGTTTCTTTAAATTTAGTAATTCTTTATCAACTTAACTTTCTCCACTGTTTCTAAACGATTAAACTATTTCAACTTCTCCATAGCTCTCTAAATTTTATACAGTGGACCCCCGGTTAACGATATTTTTTCATTCCAGAAGTATGTTCAGGTGCCAGTACTGACCGAATTTGTTCCCATAAGGAATATTGTGAAGTAGATTAGTCCATTTCAGACCCCCAAACATACACGTACAAACGCACTTACATAAATACACTTACATAATTGGTCGCATTGGGAGGTGATCGTTATGCGGGGGTCCACTGTATTTCAAACCACTAAACTATCTTCTAAATTCTTAGACTCCATAGTCTGGAAAATATTCGTGCCACACTTTTTTAACATGCTGGCTGTCTCCCACCGAGGCAGGGTGACCCAAAAAAGAAACTTGCCATCATTCACATTATCACTGTCTTGCTAGAGGCATGCAGATATGATAGTTTAAATGTCACTAAACAGTAAATATCCCAAACCCCTTTCTTTAATCCTCTGACTGTCGCAAGCCTCTTTCTGAAACTATGTTGCAAAATTTTTGGGAAAAAATAATTTTCTTAAGAAATGATAGAGAATCTTTTCCTGATGGTAATGACCCCAAAAGTACGAAATTTGGTCAAAAACTCAGAATTACGCTCCCACAAAGTTAGCGGTCTCAGTGATATATACACATCGGCGATTTCGCCGACTGAGCCCTGTTTTTGGCCAATTCTGTTGTTCCAGTTGACCAAGGTCATAGCTATTTCTTTAGAACTCCATTTTTTCTATCAGTTGAATACAGTAAACTGCCCATTTACTGATTTGAACTACCCAATAAAGTGATCAGAAATTGGCAATTTGGCCAATTTCATGCAAATTAAAAAAAAGACTCCCATTTCAAAATAGTGCAGAATAAACAATGTAGATATTCTTGCACTAAAATAACATATCATTAGTCACATTTGTACGACCCTCTTATATTACTATTTTTTATATTTTGATTTTTTATTAAAAAAAAAAAATTTACTGTTATGCAGTCTAATACATTTTTGTAAAAATGTTATAAATAATATGATGTGCACTAGTGAAAGAATATTAGACTTCCCAGTTGATGTGCACTAGTGAAAGAATATTAGACTTCCCAGTTGATGTGTACTAGTGAAAGAATATTAGACTTCCCAGTTGATGTGTACTAGTGAAAGAATATTAGACTTCCCAGTTGATGTGTATTGGACATGTGGTGTGATTTGCTTACTCCCGAACATTGGTAAAAAAAATCGAACACTTCCGCTACTTTGAGCTCAATTTCAAGGTTGTTTTCATCAAAACTAATCAACATCATCTCTATTTCTGAAATATGTTTTTCATTTTATCACACGAGACCATGAAAGTGAGAATACAACGATAAATACCATACGAAAATACACCTCAAAGTCGGTGTTTTAATAAAAAAAAAAGTTTATTTTTCTCATTATGCACCGAGTGCTGGAAGATTTTTTTTGTGGTGCACACTGACCACAGAGACCCATTCTCTCACATGTGTGCCTACCAGCTTTCTCGATTTGAAGCCGCTAGAATGTGTGTGTATTAACATTATGATACTTACCTATGTGAAGATTTCGAAGGTAACCTTATACGCTCCTCCGCAAGCTCCTCTTGATATGGCTTTCTATACACTTCTTTTTCTTCCTCAGGCAAATTTTTCCAAGCTTTAGCCAGATTTACAAAACCATTACCCTATAAAAAAATATCTGAATTAATAATGAGTAAGCAATAAATCAGAGAAAGCTATTATACAAATAGCAGCTACAATAATTTTTTTTTTTTAAATAATGGTCCATTCCAAGGCAGAGTATACCTGGAGGGTTTTCCAGGGGTCAATACCCCCACAGCCCAGTCCATGACTAGGCCTCAGTCATTTCTCACCGAGGTAGGGTGACAAGACAAGAAAAAAAAAATCACCAACATTCAATACTTTCACCATTATTCACAATCACTCATTGCAGAGGCACTCTGATACGACAGTTTAGATGTCATTCCAAACAGCCAATATCCCAAACCCCTCCTTTAAAGTGCAAGCATTGTACTTCCCACCTCCAGGATTCAAGTCTGGCTAACCGGTTTACCTGAATCCCTTCACAAAATGTTATCCTGCTCGCACACCAACAGTGCATCAGGTCCCACAAACAATTAGTCTCCATTCACTCCTAACTCACTCAGACTTGAACCACTGACAATGTTGTAAAAATAAAATTCCTGCCCCATGCAGTGCATGATGGGCAAAGCAACTCAACTTTGTGTTCAGTTTAAAACAGCACCTTTATAGGATGGTTTTTGTGGTTTAATTGGCCCGATTCTTGGAAGATATTACTACAGAAAGACGATTTTGGTTAGTTTCAGGACAGGAAGTAGCTTGAAATCAGGCTCAAAGTAGGAGAAATTAGATTTTTGATGATTCTCCTGATGACAGGTAAAAGGCCCCTTTACACCTTCCCATCCGATTTAAATACTATTTGGGATGCTGGAAATATGATCAAAGACTATCAGTTTGGCTTTTCCCCATCATGCACTGCATGGGCAGGATTTTTTTTTTTATCTGTGCACTCACTTTCAGATTCATTTTCTTATGTATAGGTTCAACTTTACCATTCAAAGCTTATGTGAGCTGAACTCAAACCACAGACCAAAGTAAGCAACTCTGGCGTCATAACATATATATGCAACACAGTGAAAGGGTTAAATTGGAATTTTTTTAATTTTGTGCAAAAATTGGGTGATTTACTGACTTCTGTGCATTTTATAGATTGGTTCTAATAGTTGAATGAGTGGGTTCTTGTGCTCAGTTGATAGAACGGAAGAAAGGGGTCAAAGTAAGCAATAACACTAGCTTAAAACAGAACTCAAAGTGGGCAAAAAATCACAATGCATAAATTCCACCCAGACTGCTAACTCTTCACCAGGATACTTCCAAAAGTTTTCCATCAAATTTCGTGTTTTTGGAGTCATTAGGGTTTCAAGGATTCAAATTGCCAGAGAAACCAGGTTGTGATCGAAAAGGGGGCAGCGGGCCTCCGCAGCAACGCCTTTTTGACCAGGCAAGCAGGGAGACGACCCCCCCCCATGGCGGGGCTCCGAAAATAAAAACAAAAAACTTTTCAAAGGTTTTATCCCTTTGAGGAAAAAAAAAACTTGGAAAATGACGACACCGAGCCTTAAATTTTGGGTTTGCTTCGACAATGTAGGGGTTCAACCCTTAAAGTGTTGGGTTTTAAAACTTTTTTACTTAACTTGATGAACCCTCCCCCGTGGGAAAAACAAAATAAAAAGCTCTCTTTATTAAAGTGACCTTAAATTGTCTCTTACACCCCCATCTATCTTTTTTAAAAAACAAATAAAGAATTATTAAAAATAAAAAGTGCAAAATTTAAAGCAGCAAAAAAAATTTTGGGAACAATAAATTAAAATGGAAAACCGGGCTCCAAATACATTTTAAAAAAAGTTGATGGGAAAGGGCCCTTTTTCCAATTGGGTTAACAAAGGGCAGACAGCCCTTTTTAAAATTTCCCCCCCCTTTGTAAATCAAAATTTTTTCAGAAAATAATGAATTTCAGGTCTTGAGAAAACTTACCCCTTTGGGTGAATTGTTTCTTTTTAATTCTATCCAAATTGTCTCTTTGAAACAATGAATAGGTAAAAAGTTTTTCCCTCTTTTTAAGAGGATTTTTCGGGCAGGTTTTCTGTAATCATCCAAAACCCAAAGGCGAGTTTTCCTAAAAAAAAGATAAAAAAGCTTTTGCCAGGAACTGAGCAGCAAAGGATTTTTATAGTCATGGGAAAGCATAACCGGGTTAAGGGGGGTTAAAAATGCCTGGGGTGGGGGAAACCCAATTTAAATGTAGGGTATAAAAAAAATTCTTGAAATCAAGACCCCTTCAACATATCAAAGTACCACTCATCAGGGAAACTTCATGAATACAAAACTGTTTCATTAAACATTGAAGCAATCATTGAAAAATTGAAGAAATCATTGAACTTAAAGCAATCTTTAAAACATTGAAGCAATCATTAAAACTATTTGGGTAGCATCCCTAGTCAGAGCACTAATACTGTTTTGTAAACAAAACGGAAAAACCAACCCCCTAAGGGGAAAAGGGAAAACCTTAAAAAGCAACATTTCCCCCATTAGGGGAAACAGCACTAGGCAGAGTGAAACATGAATTTTCCCTTTTCCCAAATTGGGGGTTTATTTGCTATTTTAAAGGGTTTAAAAAAAAAAGTATTTACAATATTCAGTTGAACATCTCATCACTTCCTGATTTAACCCCCTTTTAAAATGTCTTCAAAATGACTTTCTACAGTCCCCCAGCTAAAAAAATTTCCCCAAAATCCCGTTTTTTCCCAAATCATGCCCTTTGGGGTCTTCTGCGGAAAATTTTTTTTCCTTCCGGGGAAATTGTGCCTTCATTTTTATTTAAAAAACCCTTTTAAATCTTTTTTTTTCCCTCCAACTTTGGACTCTGAAATAAAAAAAAGTACAATTTAACCTACTGACCCTCTACATTATATAAATGCAGGGGAAAAGGCAAAACTCGAGGTAAAAACAATATCGGGGGAATTAATACAGATGGGAAAGAGGGCAAAAATATCCGAAAACCCGTCAAATGATGTTGAAAGCAAAGCAGGGGTTTTCCCAAGCACGGCCGGGGAATTATAACACCTTTTACGAGTGAGGAAGACCCGATCCCGAGAGTGGGATAGGTGAAAGGGGAAGCTGGTAAAAGGGAAAGGGGGTGAAGCAGATAAAATTTGGGGGAAATGTGGGGGGTATTCTGTCAAAAAAAGTATAAAAAAGGGGGAAGGTACCTGGGGTTTGGAAAAGAGCATGAAATATTTTCCTAGTATGCATTTTTAAAAAAAGAAAATGGAAAATTAAATTAAAAGCCCAAAGTTTTAACGTGAACAAAAAAAAAACCCCTTTGAGGGGGAATCCAAAATACTGTCAAAAAAATTTCAAATAAAAAATTTTTCAACTTTTCCTTTCCCAAACATTTTTAGCCGGGAAATTTAAAGGGTTTTGGGCTGAATATATACACTTTGGGCGAGAGGCTTGGATTTTCGGCAAGTGTGTTTTGAGTGTTTTAAAGGTAAAGGAGACAAATGTTTTTTTGGGACTTTATGACTTTTGGGAGTGTGAGCGGGGAAAATATTTTGTGGGGGGTTTAAAGGGAAAACGGGTTTACTGGACTCAAAACCCCGGAAAGGGGAAAAGACAATGGTGAATTTTAAAGGGGGGGTTTGGATATGGCATTTGGGAGAATTTTTCTAAATTTTTCTGTTTTGGCTCTCCCAAAGACCGTTTTTGTGTACGGGGTTTGGCGAGTTTTGGAATGACGAGAGCATATTTTTTATTTTTTTTTTGGGTCCCCCGGGCCGTAAAGGGGAACTCCCGATGTGAAAAAAAAAAAAAAATTAAAATATATATATATAATATATATATATATATATATTTTAAAAATAAAATATATTTTATATTTTTATTTTAATAATATATATATATATATTATATAAATATAAATATATATATATAATAAATATATATAAAAATTTTTTATATATATATAAAAAAAATATATATTTTAATATAATAATTAAATATATATATATATATATCTATTTAATATATTTATATATATATAAATAAAAATTTAAATATATATTATATATATATAAAAATATATTATAAAAATTTATAAAATATAAAAAAATTTTTAAAAATTTATATATATAAAAATAATTATATATATATATATAATATATTTATATAAATAAATATATTATAAAAATTACTGCACGGGCTGAAATTTAAGATTTTTTTAGGGGACAACCTAAAATTTTCTTTCCTTCCCACACCTCGTTAGGCTCTATGTTCTTTTCCCCCTCTTTTTGTTTAAATCAAGACTTCTGTTTTTCCCTTTTTTTGATTTATTTTTTTTGGTCCAAAGGGAACCCCTTTTTTGGGGGTTTTTGGGTACAATTGTCACTGGTTTTTCTGGGGCCGAGAAACTTCCGATTGCTGCCAAAAAAAATACTTGTAAAAAATTGGCCATTAAACCCCTTAAACAGAAATTTTCATTATATTCTTGAGGGAACATTTGATAACCCGCTGGGATTTTTAGTGCCCAGGAAGCAACCCCCGTGTAATGTAAAGGAAAGTGTGGCTCCAATTTTTTTGAATCAAGAGCAAGGGAAACCCCCCAAAGAAAGATTTTTTAAAAAAACCCAAAATTTGCTGTTGGGGGCCCACCTTCAGCATTTAGTTTGTTATATTGTAAATCCTTCTGAAACTCATTCTAGCCAGTTATTTAAAAGTTAAAAATTAAACCAAAATTTTGGGGAAGGTTTTAAAAAAAATCTCTTATGGCAAAAATTAACCCCCTCTCCAGGAGCCTTTTTTTCAAACCCAAATTTGCCCGGGCAAAAAATAAAGGAAACAAATTTGGGGACCAAAAAAATGTCTCATGTTTTGCCCAAAGCAGCAGTTTTTTTAAATTTACCCATTTTTTAGGGGGTTTGGGCATGTAGAGAGAATGGGGCGAAACAGAATGCTTCAAGGTGTAAACATCTGTAGTGGAAGGAAGGAAGGGGGAGGGGCGGCCCAGGAAAGGTTGGAGGGGGGGGTAAGGAAAGGGTTTTTTGTGCCCAGGGGGGTTTGGGCTTCCCGGGAGGGGATGCGTGGG